AAAAATTTCATACCTCTGTTACAATTGAAAGGATCTTAGTTGACCACGTCTCGCTTTTTGCTTCCATTATCGCCTTTGTGTTTGTTTACATACAAATACAAAGTCTGCAGCAATCCACGACATTGTCATCTTATTGTCGCGCCTGTGATTGACTAAAGTCAAAAGGGGACATCAAAGCACCTCATGGATTCGGCCTCACTGGCTAGTACCCTTCAAAATTTTACTGAAGCGAAATCTTGAGGCAGAACGTGATCTATTAGACGTTTAGTCTTTTTCCCTATAGCTAAAAAAATATATAAAAGCATAAGGATACTTAGAAAGAGAACTAACTTTTAGGGTATCCACTTTCCTAAGTTGTTTTTACTGTTGCCAAAAATGATTGAATTTTTAACGATAACCCGTTTAGGAGTTTTCGTGATATAGATCTTTAGCCAAAATTAAAGTGGAATGGTAGTCGCATAATGTTCCATTCAGCTCTGCCAACAATTTTCGATGCGAGGAAAGATAGCAAGAAAAGCTTGCTACGTATTAGTAAGGGATAAACGACAGACATAATGATAACCTCAAAACAACTGAGGCAATGGATAGAGCGCTGGACTGTTGTGCGGGAGGTCGAGGGTTCGAGCCCCGGCCGGACCAACACTCAAGGTCTTAAAATAAAAATGAGGAGGATATGCTACTTATCTATAGCATCAAGAAATGGTCAGATATTCTAGTCTTCTCGGATAGGGACGAATACACGGAGGTTCCTTCTCCTGCAGGGTTAGGGGTAGGCCTGGGGAGACGTTAATTTCCCACGCACGAGTATACTGTGTGATGGATGTCCTCCCCTGGGGTGGGATGAGTGGGTTTCAAGGCCATAAGTTAAATAACTCATCGGATTAATTAAGTCACTTTCGTTAAATAAACAATATTGTATTGTATTGTATTGTGTATTGTAAGGCTGCTTACGGATGCCGAACGAGAAGTCTGGATTGTCAGAGAAGTTGTACATACAAGGATTTCAAGTTTCAGGGTCTGGAGACTTGCCTCCGCTGTCCGTAATTTTTTTCTGAAAAAGCTTTTGTGGTCTTCCGCAGAATTGGATAAAAAAGTTTTCTCTCTTCCATACCTTCAGCTTCCTGCAACAGCTGAGCGGGCAGTTCTGTTTTTCGCTTTCACAAAAGGAATCTTAACTCGCCCACGTTGAATTCCAAGAAATCCTCATTCGGTTTTATTTTTTCCCTCGAATCATCCATTTTTTTTAACACCTTGGCTTTCCTTTTTGTGTCTACGAGAGCGACTTCGCACATTGCCTCGTTTTCACGCTTTTTAAATTTAGCACCAGATCTCTAAATAGTGAGAACTCGAAAATGGGCTATTTCATCGGCTGTTATTTCTGACTATATTCAGACGTTCACTGCATCGAGTTGTATCTACGAATTGTGTTTACGAATCGGAAGAAATAAGTTATATATCGCTAGAGTCTTCGAAGAGCTGGTTTCGCAAAATACAGTACGGGTTTACTCGTTTCGTTTCGTTTCGTTTCGTTTCGCAAAATACAGTAAGCCATAAACACAACTCAAGATATTGTTTTTCATGGAAAAGAATCAACAGATTTTATTCACAATGAGTCAAACCAAATTTAATGATTCATTAGGAATATTTTAAATGAATAGCTGTAACAGAGGATAATTTTTATGTTTTCAAGAAAAGAAAAAGAAATCAAACTTCATCCTAATATTACTACCTGTTGACGTTAGTATACAATAGAAAATAATTTAATGTAAACCTGAATTAAGCATGTGAATAAATTTCATTGACTACTTGAATTTCTAGTTGGGAGTTAATGCCTGTATTTATGTTATATTGGTTGCCTCAATGTTCCTAAAATTCCCAATAATTTTTTAACATTCCCAGAAATTCCTAGAATATTCCAAGGAATTGCCTGCAAGTTTTTAGATTTACAGTCTTTCAAGGAAGTGATTGGTGCTCTGAGTTGGAATTCCTGGGAATTCCTAGGAATTCCAAGTCCTGCTGGCTATAAATGTTGAATTTTGGGGAATATTTAGGTTTTCAGAACCAGAGTTGTTGCAGTTAGGAATTCCTAAGAATTCCAAAATCCATTTTGCAAGGGTAGTCTAGCATTCTGGTCATAAGGAATTGAAATACTGCTACTCGTGCAGTGTAAACTGCAATAACCATTGGTATTAAAGGGCTCACTGGCCTCTAAACTTGGTGTTTTTTTTTTAAATTTTTAGGCAGGTTATAATTATTCCATCCTCCCTTTACTTGAACATCAAAGCAGTACAGTGGCTACCTCCAAATGATCTCTTGGCTCACAAGGACATCAACACTTTTGTCTCTCATGCAGGACATTACAGTCTGTATGAGTCAGCATACCATGGGACCCCTGTGATAGCCTTTCTTCTGGGTGGAGACCAAGACAGCAAGACAGTAAAGCTAAGAAAGTTGAGCATTTGGGCCTTGGTTTGATTGTTTATCATAAAAACTGCAGTGCCCTACAACTGCTTAAAACAATTGAAATAGTTGTAGGGGAACCACAGTGTGTAGCACATGGTATACTGATATATCAAAAGTGATTTATAGAAAACTTGTTTCTTACCAATCAGCCAAAAAAAAAATCGAATTGTATGGAATGAAGCTGATTGGTGAGCAGTTTAGGGGTTACTTGCTTGTTCTGATGTCTTGTGACTGGTCATGTAAGATTGTAAAATATGCAGATAAATTTCATGTGTTCATGGTTTTTCAAGTACATCAGTAAACTGCTGTTTGCCTTTGGAGACTGCCTTATAGTCCTAACAATAGCATTATCAGCACAACTTTATCCATACTAAGTGCATGTAACATTTTTATACTGTTCCATAATACTTTGTGCTATTCTTGTACAAATTA